ATGAACAATCTTGAAGTTGTTTGTTTGTTCACATGAACGACAACATTACATACAATTGTCTAAGTTATAAGGTCAGAAAACCTTATGGTTCAGGTATATCTGTCCTGTATTTCACACTACGGACCAAATGGAGAAAGCATTCAGTCGGAAGCGCGCGCTGCCTGAAACGATTATTCTTAACCGAATAGCGGAATTGACTGTTCCTGTTATAACGCATTCACATCTGAAAGTGTAAAGCCTGTTCGGTAGTAAACCGTCGTAAACCCGAGACCTTCAGATATTCAATCCGATATGTTAACTACCATGCCACGCTCGGGCTGACACTGAAAGTGAAAAACATATCTAATGTAACGATATTGTAACTCCGCAAAAAATGTTTTCCTGATTTTAAGGGTGGAAATCTTTATTTTTTCATGAAATGTTCGTCACAGAGTTACGTTTTTATTTTGTCTAAAAAAATTGCTGTTGTTGTTTTCTGAACACATAACCACGCCGATGAGCTTTTTACATTCAACTCACTGGGGGGATCGAACTCCGAATTGTACTGTTGCAAGTCCGTAAATTTACTGCTGACCCAGCAAGAAGCATAAATATTTCATTTAGTTTGTATGTTTGTTGTTAAGTACAAAGCTACACAAATGTGCTATCTGCGATGTGCTCAACGCGGGTATCGAAACCCGGTTTTTAGCGTTATAACCCCTCACAGATTTACCGTTGAAACCACCAAGTAGCTAGTCTAAAAACATAAAAAAAATCTTGAAACTTATTGTAAAATCTTATCACAGCAGACATTTTATTTACTTTTACAGGAAAAGAAAAACTGATGAAATTATTTAACCAGTTCAGAAAATCTACACAGCCACTAAGGCCTTTTGTTTTCAAATTGTCGACTCTGTTTTTGAAGTGATTAGTTGTGATGTATGTAGTTAGCTTACTTTGATCACAAGTTATTGATAAGCCTGGATAACAAGCTCAGCCTTGTGGTTTCATCTATTCTCGTTTAAAGTTGTAATGTAAGATGAACGCTTTACTCCTCTGAAAGTCTAAGAAGTTCTTAATAACGTAGACGTAAGCATTTTGTCGTAGAGAATGAAGTATGAGCTCTTTAAATAGCACATTTACATCTAAGGTCATTACAGAAACGTCAGCAAATTACAAACTATAATAAACTTGTGGCGATAATGTTTACAAGAGACTATGTTACAACTAGACCTTAGCTAGAGAGGTGAGGTCTTACAATAAATGATTATATACACTGATACACTAATTGTCTCTACTGTACTGCGCTTAAACCTTCGTAGACGATAAGAAAATAGTTCAGGAAGGTGTATCTATCAGAATCTAAAAGAGCAAAGTCGATGACTTATCTAACGTTACGCTGAAGATTTAAAGTGTAACATTAATGAGAAAAGCTTCAATATATTCGATGATTTACGTTTCTGGAAATATTTGGTCGTTGCTGTTTCGAGACGCGTCTAACAGACTAATCCTTACGTTACTCAAGTTTATTTGTTTTGTAACGAGGTTATATTTCATAACCAGTTATTATAACTATTCAATTACTTTTCTTTTTTCTGTCTCATTGTAGTTACTTTTACGTTCCTCTTCGAAACCGGAATTTGATACGTTTGGTTCAAAATTGGAATAACCATAACAGAAATCACCATTAAAGGAAACTTAATAGTGTTTCAATTACTACATTTGAGGCCAAAAAAAATTTTGGTTTTGAATTTTGTACAAAGCTACACGAGGGCTATCTGCGCTAGCCGTCTCTGATTTAGCGGTAACAAGACTATAGGGAAGGCCACTAGTCAACAACACCCACCGCCAACTCTTGGACTATTTTATCAAAGAATAGTGGGACTGATCGTCACATTGCAACGCCCCCACGGCTGAAAGGGCGAGCGAGTTTGTTGTGATGGGGTTTCGAACCTGCGATCCTCAGATTGGGAGTCGAGCGCCCCTAACCACTAGGCTTCCAAACAAACAACAACAACAACACAAATGTGACGAAAGTGAAACAAGTGGAACACGAGAGGAATTATTGTTTAATTAGATAACAAGGCTTATTTGTATTACACAGAGCAATCAAGACGTCTTTTAACCTTGACTAGTTTGTCCCGATGAAGTAAATAAGCCCTAAGGGTCAGTAACATTTCCTACACCGTTAGTTAGTTTGACACGAGGACTTATCTAATAAATGTTAGTTTATTACAAGTTACAGCTCTTACGGTTGAGATGAACCTTTTTTGTTATTTTTTTACAGTGGAAAAAAAAAACTTGTGAACTTGAGAATGATCGCAGCAGTGATCGAAACGTCGAACCTATTTTTTTTTAATATTCTTCTTTACTGTAAAACCTGTTACTTGTAATAAAGTAACACTTATAATCAGTAAGTAAACTCAAAACGAATCAATTTATCCAAAACAAACTATCACTTAAGGCAGATTTGCAGACAAATTTCCCTCTTACTGATGAACTTGGACAGTATGATAAAAGTTTATAAAATGGTTCTGGTGTTGTTAGGTTTTAAGGTCATACTAGTAAGTATACGCACGTTGCAGATTTATTAAATGATCACTACGCTGTTATTCCATTTAAAGTTGTTTTAGAGTCGTTAAACTACTACTAATGCCCCAGAGTGGTATTTTTGCGGATTTACAATGCTAGAAACCGGGTTTCGATACCCGTGATGGCAAGAGCCCATTGTGTAGCTTTGTGCTTGCCTTAAAATAAACAAACAACTGCTCCCAGCGTTACTAGTTAAAGGCAGGTCAGGCGTGGCCTAGTGGATCCGAGTATCTGTTGTTCGCATGTCCCGTTTCCGAATAGGAAAAAAAAAAAAACATTCGAGGGATATAGCGAAACGATTATCCGTTTGTCTGAATATTTCTACTTCCCGCGCGATAACTGGAGCTCTAAAAGAGCAGAATTTAATCACACTTAACAGCTCTTTTCTTCTGTTGAATTTGGGGATAAGAGGTGAAAGTTTAAAGCAACTATTTCAAAACATATATTTGGTTTCCTTACAGAAGAAAACTTAACCACAAAATACATACACACACATATGTTTATGAATAAATCATAATCAAAACAGTCAAAAAGCGAAGAGTTTTTCACTATCATGATGTATATCATTTCTGCCTCCCAGTAGCACAGCGGTATGTCTGCGGACTTACAACGCTAGAATCCAGGTTTCGATACCCGTGGTGGGCAGAGCACAGATAGCCCAATGTGTAGCTTTGTGCTTAACTTCAAACAAACAAACAATATAATTTCTTGCCCCCAAGTGGCACAGCAGTAAGTCTGAAAGCTTGTAACGCTAAAAAACGGGTTTCGATAACTCTTGGTGGGCACAGCACAGATAGCCCATTGTGTAACTATGGGCTTATCGACAAGCAAACAAATATCATTTCTTTCAGATTTGATCAGAATTTGCTTATTTATCTGTATAGATATAATAGTACTGTCTGTTATCTGTTGTATGTCCATGTAACTACTTCGCAAGGTGTGGATTGATCTTCACCAAAATTGGTACGGGGGCTCATTAGATCCATGCGGGGATACATACAAATTTTCAGTTTTGCATTTTGCGGTTTTTATGGGCATTTTTGCGTTGTTGTTGTTGTTGTGTTTTTTTTTAACCACTACTTCGCCCCTGTAGCTGGATCATCACCAAATTTGGCATTAGGGGTTTGTTGGGTCCATACGGAGGTATATGGAAATTTGCGATTTCACATTTTGTGTTTTGCGGTTTTTATGAGTGTTTTTGCGTTGTTGTTGTTGTTGTTGTTTTTTTTTTTTACCACAACTTCGCCCCTGTAGCTGGATCATCACCAAATTTGGCATGAAGGTTTGTTGGGTCCATACGGAGGTATATGGAAATTTGCGATTTCACATTTTGTGTTTTGCAGTTTTTATGGGCGTTTTTTTACAATTACATATAAGGGAAACATCTTTTCATGTCCTAAGATTTCATTAATCATGAATTTACCTAACTTCTGTCCAGCGTACTGGTACCCCAGCTAGTCACTCAATAAAATACGATATAAATTTTAGAATGTTAATACAGTTTTCTAGCTTCTAACTGCCGCAATGAGAAGTGAGATAATTTTCTCCTCTGTCAATAAATAAATATCGGTTGGCAATAAGAACAAAAATTGTTTCATTTGTCACGACTTTACTGAAAATATAGTATCTCGAATACCGCTCCTTAGGTCATTTTAGGTCTAAAGACATTTATGTAGTTCTGCATGTCTGTTATTATAAGCCTGACAGGATCAGGTGGTTAGGGGGCGCTCGACTCGCAATCTGCGGGTCGCGGGTTCGAATCCCCGTCCCACCAAACAAGTTCGCCCTTTCAGCCGTGGGGGCGTTATAATGTGACGGTCAATCCCACTATTCGTTTGTAAAAGAGTAGCCGAACAGTTGGTGCTGACGTCATTAATATTCATATTTCGTTGAACACTGCTGACCAGTGTTCCCCCTAAGCTGCGCGACAGCCCAACAACCAATCAAGTGCGGCGCACTTCATTATTTCAGGCGCGCACATCCTCAGTAACGGTGAGAAGTCTCAACACGTTCACGGCCTCAATGACCCTGGCAATCGATAGGCCTAAAGCCCAAATAACCAACTGGTAGCATTGCAAAGCGGCCTAATGACCCAATAGGGTCGATGGTATAAAAATACTACCACCATCCTAAAAAAATAAAAACTGGTAGCACACATCCGCACATTGCCTTGATACTGGTGCACATTAAAAAAAATTCATTCCGCACATGGATTGAAACAATTAGAAGGGACATTGGTGTTGACGTCACGAATGCTCAACTTATTATTTCTAGCATGGCGCTGACGTCATTAATACTCATTTTTCTTTGCCTAATGTTGAAGTCTCAAGTACGTAAATTTCCTTAGTACACTGTTGGCATTGATAGTTTGAATAGTGAAACCTTTTTTGTTTATAAAGATTTGACTCTTATTATGTTGTTTATCGTAGGTCAGTTTCTTTTCTACGAGTCCTGAACTGAGTAACAAACAAAGATTTGAATACTTCCTCCGAACGGTACCCTCAGACACTAATCAAGCACAAGCTATGGTCGAAATAATTAAAATTCTCAACTGGACCTATGTTTCTATCTTATACGAAGAATCTACTTATGGCATTAAGGTAAGTTCTTTTTTTTTCTTTTTGTTCTAACTTCATCATATGTGCGGTAATTTCTGTTACCCACAGTAAGTTATAAAAAAAATATCTTCGACAAATATTATACATCACAGTAACAACGGAATTTACTATATTTAAGTAAAATAAGCTTGCAAATAAGACAAAATTATTCATTACATTGTTATATATCTGTTTTTGTCCTCTAAATTTTTAGTCTTAAGACTTACAACCATTCATCTTAGTAAATGTATGTTTGATCCCATTCTAATATATTCAGATCTATAGTATTATATAACATTTTCAAATATACAATGTTATACACTGGAGACGAGAATGAGAAATTTAGTAGATTCGCTATACCTACGAAAACCGATTAATAGAGGGCGCTACTATCTAATGCAGTGCGATTAGGCATAATTTCCTAATAAATTTTGATACGGTTTTAGCACAAGTCACTATAAAACATTTTCATCGTTTTTGTTTACATTGTATTAAAAATAAATTCGTACTTTTTCAATGTGATTTTAATTATTGATTTTCCTTTGTGGTAATGTTATGCAATTTTCAAGGTCCTTAATTTCGAATGTTTGTTTGTTTGTTTGTTTTTAATTATGCACAAAGCTACACAAGGGCTATCTGTGCTCTGCCCACCACGGGTATCGAAACCCCGTTTCTAGCGTTGTAAGTCCGCAGACATACCGCTGTGCCACTGGGGGGGCTAATTTCGAATGAACTTGGAATAAATGCCCGGCATGGCCAGGTGGATAAGGCGCTCGACTCGCAATCTGAGGGTCGCGAGTTCGAATCCCCATCCCACCAAACATGCTCGTCCTTTCAGCCGTGGGGACGTTATAATGTGACAGTCAATCCCACTATTCGTTGGTAAAAGAGTAGCCCAAGAATTGGCGGTGGGTGGTGATGACTAGCTGCCTTCCCTCTAGTCTTACACTGCTAAATTAGGGACGGCTAGCGCAGATAGCCCTCGTGTAGCTTTGCGCGAAATTAAAAAAAATAAACAAACAAACTTGGAATAAGAAATTACTTTGTAAAAACGAGAAGCACTCTGTGAAAATTAATAAAAAACAGTAATAAAAGGCCAGCATAATAATTGCATAAAAAATACCAGCACAATAATGCATAAATCGATTAAAGTAATTATTTTGATTTTCGCGCAAAGCTACGCGACGACTATCTGTCCCTAATTTTGAAGTAATAAACTAGAGGGAAGGCAGCTAAACAACAATACTCACCATCAACTCTGGGGCTACTCTTTGCTAACGCCCCCATGAATGACTGAACCAGTAAGCTTGTTCGAGGAGGGAATTCGAACCCACCACCCTCAGATTGCGAATCGACTACCCTAACCACCATGCTATTGCCAAGCTTTAAAAGTAAACTACTTAACAAACAAAAAACGGCTAGTTTCGACAGGCCAACCTTGTTTTACTCTGTCGCTCCAGAATGACAAGCTTGGCATGTCGAATGAAGTTTTTGTTTTTCGTTAATCGTTTCTGTATTAGTATGTCGATGGACTTATATTTTACCCATTTCTCAAGTTTCTCACTAATAGAGAACCTACATGGTAGGTTTATGATACATTACTCACTGCCATTAGGAAGATTAAATCGCTCTGCTTACCACACTAGCACTGATGCCATTGACATTTAATTCATCCTTCATAGCACAGTACGTACACCATTAGTCTTCAACATTCTCCACCAAGAAGGTAACTCTCTGTTTAAGAAAGGGCTGTAACTGGTATTATCTACTGATCACGTTTGATGACTAGCCCATCTTTTGCACTATGTGTTAGAATGGCGAAACAAACAAAATAATTTTAGTTGTGACGAACGAATCGGGAAGTAAACAAAAGAACTTCAGTTGTGACGAACGAATCGGAAAGTAAACAAAAGAACTTCCGTTGTGACTAACGAATCGGGAAGTAAACAAAAGAACTTCCGTTGTGACGAACGAATCGGGAAGTAAACAAAAGAACTTCCGTTGTGACGAACGAATCGGGAAGTAAACAAAAGAACTTCCGTTGTGACGAACGAACCGGGAAGTAAACAAAAGAACTTCCGTTGTGACGAACGAATCGGGAAGTAAACAAAAGAACTTCCGTTGTGACGAACGAACCGGGAAGTTTTGCTACCTAATATCGCACGTTACACCTTGCTGGAATTAAAGACCTCAGTTTGCGAGTCGAGCTCTCAAACTTCCTGGCCATGCCAGGCCTCAACAGACAGACTTCACACTACTAAATAACACCCTTGAAAATTAGTCATTCAACAACTGTTGCATTAAGATGTTTGATATGTCCAAAACTTCGGGTTTAAGAAAACGTTTGAAACAGTTTGTCTTGACCATATTTGGTTTGAACCACTGTTGTAGTTCTGGGGAGTCGCGACGAAGCGAAGAACTCCCCACTTTATGAGCAGAGGGGTGGGGGTGCCACTAACAAACTTCAACTGTAAATTATTTTAGTATTTTTCAATATTTTAGTTCGTACGTAATGCCAAAATATTCAATTAAAAATGCATTTAACCTATCTTAAAATTTCCCGCAAAGCTAGTCACTTCATGAACCATTTTTAACATTTGATAATTTTCAAAACATAAGTGATGTTTCATTTCCATTTACTTCTAATATGAGTGCCTGACTTTGAGAGTGACACGGAGCAGATACTGAGCAATCAACTTAGGTAAAACAGTCGTATGTCACCACTCAGCTGATGAGACGTAATAGAGAGGTTCAAAGACTACTCCTACCACTATGGAAACTCTTGTAACATAGGTTCAATTGTATGGAAACTCTTGTAACATAGGTTCAATTGTATGGAAACTCTTGTAACATAGGTTCAATTGTATGGAAACTCTTGTAACATAGGTTCAATTGTATTTTTGTTGAGTTCATATCATTTTTCGCGTTGCTTTCTTATATGTGGATCGATGTGGTTATAATCATGTCTCATTAGCTGAAAGCTTTACTGACATATATAAACTGCTGCTTTTATAATTATATTTCCAGCTAGCCTTCGTGTAGCCTTGCGCGAAATTCAAAACAAACAAAACTTAATTTCTAATTAATTAGTAAATACTGTAGCTGGTGATTAGCTGTTCTGTCGGGGGAGGGGGTAAGAGAGAGAGAGACAACGGTGACCCCTCACTTCTAGATGAATGGAATATATAGGGGCGCGCGCTTCAACTGATTTTATTGAAAATAGTTGGATTGAAAGCAGCTTCATGCTTCAACTAGTTATGTTGAAAATATTTGGCTTAGCGATATTTTTAGGATTAAGAAGAGGAATTCAATTGATTTTATTGAATATATTTGGAATAAAAGGAAGTTCAGGTTTAAGAAGGTATTTTAAATGGTTTTAATGAAGATATTTGGATAGAAAGTAGCTTCGCGTGTTAGAAAAGGCTTCTATTAGATTAATGAACACATTTGATTAAATCCTATGTTTAATTAATTTTTATTGTTGGTGTATTTAAAATGCCAAAACGAGGAGATAGTTTTATTTTGTCTCCCTGTGGGAAAGCGGTAAGTCTGTGGACTCACTAAGCTAAAATCAGCGGTTCTATCCCCCTCTGTGGAGACAGCAGATAGCCCGAAGTAGTTTTGTTATTAAAAATACGTATACACACAGCTTTCTGTTTTTTTTAAATAAAAATAATAATGGGCTCTAATTATTTTGTTTGGCTGTTATTAAGCACAAATGTACACAATGCGCTGTCTGTGCTGTGATCACTACGGGTATTAAATCCCGGTTTATAGCGTTGTAAATTCATAGGGTTCGAACATATAACTTGTGTTTCAAAAGCTATATATTAAATGATAATTTACATGATTATTTTTCTTGGTAAATTTTTAAAAAAGTATGATATTATTTCCAATTAATGGTTACATTCCATGCTGTCATTTTTTGTATTTATGTAGCTGTTTCTTTGCTTTTTAACTAATTAATGTTTCTTTCTTGCGAAAGTAGGGGGGGGTACATTTTATATAAACATTATCATGTTTGTTTTTTGTGTCTCCATTTTGTAGTTAAAACTACGAACTGTTTAAAACGTATTTTCTAGTACGTAAATAAAACTGAATCGAATTGAATTGTACCATGAATGCTTGTGAAGAGTTAATAACGGCTTAACAGATAATTATTGCTTATGAATTATTAATGCTTGTATGTTCCAGATTTTTCGCGCAAACCTACATAAGGGACTATCTTCGTGCACAAAGGTGACCAAAGGGCTACCTTCGTATAACGGTCCTTAATTTTGAACTGAGAAAGCGAAGACAGCTAGTAAACAGCAACCACCTCCGTCCAACTCTAGGACTTCTTCCATCTGATCGAATAGTGGGATTTGGTTGTTTATTGCAGAAACTGGATGTGAACCGTTAACTTTCAGATTTTGATATGAAGAGTTTTATTTCGTTTGCGAATTAGAAAATTTCATAAGTAGATGAAACTTAGTCTTATTAGTGAAGGAGTAAAACTTCTAAATAAAGAATATTTGGCAAATATTACGTATGGAGAAGTAAAACAATCTGCGGGTCGTGGGTTTGAATCCCCTTTACCGTACATTCTGACAGTGAATCCCATTATTCGTTAGTAAAAGAGCAGCTCAAGAGTTGGCGGTGGGTGGTGTTGACTATCTGTTTTCCCTCTAAATTAGGGACGGCTAACGCAGATAGCCCCCGGGTAGCTTTTCGCGAAATTCAAACCAAACCAAACGGTTTTTAATGTTATTTAGCAGTAGTATCATTTTACTGTTTACAATATGGGTTTGTTTGTTTTTATGTTCATAAATATTACATCTTAGGCCTTCAACGTGCTGGAAGAACGTCTGGCTCATCACAATATTTGTATCGCGATAAAGGAAAAGTTAACGAAAGACTCTGGAGTTGCCTCCGAAGGAGTTTACGACAAGATTGTCCGAAAATTGCTATCTAGGCAACGAGCTCGAGGTAAGATTTGTTTGTTCTATTTAAAACCTACCTAGATTTTACGTTATTCTGTTTATTTGTTCTGTTTTCTTTGTGAATATTATAAATTCTTTAGAGTACTTTCCCAGCACAGTTGGCCCGGCACAATTTCAAATCCTACAAATTTTTACATGAAACCCATATTTAGATATTGTATGAAATATAAACAACTATTGAGGTTTTTTTTTCTTTTTAGTTGGCCCTGCATGGCCAGGTGATTAGGGCGCTTCACTCGCAATCTGGGGGTCGCGGGTTCGAATCCCCGTCCCACCAAACATGCTCGCCCTTTCAGCCGTGGGGTGTTATAATGTAACGGTCAATCCCACTATTCATTGGTAAAAGAGTTGGCTGTGGGTGGTGATGACTAGCTGCCTTTCACAAACTTTAGAAATACGTCGTTTTGATATAAATACATTTTCTCTATAGCCTTCATTGTTAAAGTAGTAGTAGATAAATATGTGAAGTTTTAATCGGAAACATTTGCCAAACATAAAGCTACACAATTGTCCGTCTGTGTTCTGACCACCGCGGGTATCGAAAGCCGAGTTTTAGCGTTATGAATGACGGAATAAGAGATCGATGTACACTCGTAGTTGATCTTGGTAGAACAAGATGGACGCCTCATATTTAGGTACTAAAAGTGGAAATCTTTAACACAGAGAACCTTAGCCTCTTCTAACAAGGAAATAAAGTACCGTCCAATAAAATATAAGAGTGACAAATCTAATATACAAATACGTTTTACAAATCGTACTGTAAATATTTGTGAACTTTGCACTCTGTCTTCTAACAGAGCAAATATTTCCCGAACGTCCCAGAAGTAATTAGCGTCTTTTGGGGGGGCTAAACTTATCATTTAAAATATGGGTACAAAAAGGTGGAAACTAAGAACTAACCAGTGTCCTTTGGACGCTACCTTTTTCACTTAAAGTACGGACACGAAGTAGGACATCCGCTGAATAACTAACGCTCATGGATCGCTACTCTTATAAAGTAACAGCTGTGCAGCAGAGAGTCAACAGCACCTACCGCCAACTCTTCGGCTACTCTAATCGAATAGTGGGATTGGACTTTCACTCTTATAACGCACTTTCTAAAGTCACAAGTACGAAGCGCATTTTTTTTAATACAGTAACGGGACGCAAATCAGAGACTCTTGGATTCACGTTCTTACCACATTGATCCTTCGGCCACGCCCAGCTTTTATATCTCTATTTTGAAAAGAGCAGCTGGAACTAATAAGCAGTCTTTCAACATTGTCGTTATTATTTAAAATAATCTCATAAATAGTGACGCCCCGACTAATAATAATGTACTTTCGGGCGCAACCCTTATTATTTAAAACATGGGCGCAGGGCGTCCGATGTTTCTATCTTGATAAGGTAGCAACACCATGTTTAAACTCACATATTTTTATGTAATTTGTTCATTATTTGTTTGTTTTCGTGTTTGTTTGTAGTTATGCAGTGCTAGAGTCGATCTATTTTTTAATTTACTCTTTTTATTAGTAATATCTAACTTAATTTAACGACTTACTTCACCTTCGTTACATCGTGTAATAACGTATTGTTACTTTCTCGTATAAAATTATGTAACTGTCTCTATTTTATACATTTTTTCATTAAGAAAAACCCGATTATTCGTATTAAACTAAATTATCATTTTTCATTTATTCATGTAAAAACAATAAACTTTTCTTTCCTTGTATTCTGATAAAAAAAATTCTTTGTTTCGTTACTTTAAAACTAATTAGTTTTTGATTTCTCTTAAAAGTTATTTATTTCCCTCCTATAATAAAATACAATGTTTTTAACATATTACTTATAACATGTTCTCATTCCCACACGTTCATCAACAAATGCCCCTTAGTGATATAGCGGAATATCTCTGGATTTAACACTGCTAGAAACTGGGTTTTGATACTCGTGGTGGACAGAGCATATATAGTCCATTGTGTAGCTTTGTTGCATTAGCAATGACCAGAGATAACACCCAATTAAAAAAATAGATCGACTCTAGCACTTGCATTAGCAATGACCAGCGATAACACCCAATTAAAAAATAGATCGACTCTAGCACTTGCATTAGCAATGACCAGAGATAACACCCAATTAAAAAATAGATCGACTCTAGCACTTGCATTAGCAATGACCAGGAATAACACCAAATTAAAAAATAGATCGACTCTAGCACTTGCATTAGCAATGACCAGAGATAACACCAATTTAAAAAATAAATCGGCTCTAGCACGTGCATTACCAGTAAAAATATACATGGATTCCTGTAGAAAGTGATTGAAAATTTGCCCCAAAAAATGTAATTCGATCGGAAGCCAACTGATAGACCACAATACTTGGTCTATAACTGTTGTCTCCCTCCACACATTAAACATAATATTACGTGCCCTCAGATTCAATAAAATCTGCTCTGACAGTAATAACTATACAAGTCACATTGATTCTTAAAAAAAAAAAAATAACAGAGAAAGAGAGAGAGATTGTAAGCACACTACTATCATTAAATAAACTGAGAAAGATAACAACATCTTTCGCGATGACGCCTGGTAACAATGACTGGATAAAACCTCCTCCCGCGTTCCACTGGTTATCATCACCTATCAACCAGAATTGAAGAATCTTCCATGGATCCTGAAGAAACGTTTCTAGCTTAATGACCGACTAAAATCAAATGTTCCCGAGGATTCTGCGATTTCTTTTCGAAAAAAAACAACAACAAACAACAAAAATAAAACTTTGAAAATCTCATTTAATTCGCGATAAAATCAACTTTAACTCCTCACCAGGCGGAAGTTACCCCTTGCAATAGAAAGTGTTGCCAAATCTGAACGTTTATGCAACGTCCAGACCAGTTTTTTGATAAAGACAACCTAAAATAATACAAGACCACAAAACACATAACTTGCACCACAAAAACGCTGTTTACTAATCGAATGTCAAAATTGAAACTTTCAATATATGGGACAAACCAAGAACAACTATAAGAGACTAGTTGCTTGTTTGAAGTTAAGCACAAAGCAACACAATGGACTACCTGTGCTCTACCCACCACGGGTATCGAAACTCGTATTCTAGCATTATAAGTCCGCTGTGCCACAACTGTAAGAGAGCTTGATGACGAGGAACCCAATTTTTAAAAATATATAGTTTGGTGACGGCTTGAATGGGCAATAAAAGAAACTTTGTTAGACATGTACAACGTTTAGACAGGTAATTATAATTGGTGATGAACTAAGCTTGTTGAAAAGAAAGCTTTCTGGACATCTTTGAATAATGTAATTCTGAATGGTGTCAGTCTTAATCCTGGGATTGTTGACCAAGATACGAAAGAGACGCAGTAGTGTTTGAGGTGCTGTTCATGAAATTACAACAACGGATGAAACTAATGAAGTGTAATTTCTATTAATATTATTTGTTGCCTTGAACTAAACACAAGTCCTTAGCATATCCGTTTCACCCTTCTTCAGCCAGGATTAGTTAGCTTTTACGGTCATCTCGACAAACACTCTCTGCTCACGTGACGTGTACTTCTTTTTCATATATATATTCATATATATATATATATATATTATCCCAGACTCTTTAACCTTTGCCTTTTATACTCCTCATGAAAAATAGTTAACTATTCAAAAGCTCTCGAGTTTCTGGGTCTTTTGAGATCTGATATTGTCATACTTGTCTTAACGACAAAAATTATGTAGAATTCTGCAGAAAATGACCGAAAATATTCCAAAAAAGGGTCATCAGAGACTACATGCTATAATTGCCATCGTTAATCTTATTCGGACTTGGTTTGTTA